GCAGAAGGCGCGCCAGGAGTGGGTATGCGCCGTTGGGGGGCGGGCGCATGGGCGGGGGGGGGGGCTGACGACTCTGTTGTGGATAAAGTTGTCGATTTTGCGTACGATCAGCTTGTGTTTATACTTTCTTGTGTTTTGTAGCGTCCCTGCTCCTTCCCTCCTCGGTTGCAGGCATTCTATCCATATGATATGTATTTCTTCATTGCAGAAGTGTGCCATCCCTTTTTCGTCTGTCGCATGTTGTGTCGCCCAATTTTCCTTAACCGGAAGAGAACAAATTGGTTCCACATCAAGAAGGAAATGGTGAGGGGGAGGGAAGGGGGGTGATGACGAAAGCATCCGTTGACAATTTTGTTTTTGTGTTCAATGTTGGGGTTGTCGGGCGCTTGCTGCTGCTACCGCTCTCTCTGCATTGCTGGTGAGGGTCTAGCCTGACGCCAGCCAATTGATTTTTCCGGATATCGTTTGGTTTTCTCTGCTGTTCCGTCTATGAAAGTTGGCGTTGGCCCCCTGTGTACTGGACGCTTCGTATTTTGCGTGAAAGTGGTATTTATTTGTCCACGCGTGCTATTATTCGTGAGAGAAAGTTGTTTGGGTTCTGTCTGGGTTGCATGGATGGATACTGGATGCAGCGTTGGGGCTGGGGATCCTTGGCATCTCGCATATGGTGCAGGGGTCCTCTTTTCTACGACGGGGATCCGCTTGTGAATGAATGCCTGGCACACACGCACTCGTTTTCGCAGGCGAGGCCCCGCAGATAAATTCGTTCGATGCTGATGTTGGGTTGCTGCCCAAGAATGGAGAGCGCCTTTGAGAGCGCACACGCTTCTTCTGCTGTTGAGGCGCCCTCGGCACGATTTTTTTTTTTTTGCGCCTCGGCACCATCGGAGCCGAGAGCGAGTGCGAGACTTGACATGCCGCTTGGAGTTCCGCGGCTAGGAGGGGTTTGCGTAAAACGGGGGGCATCATGGAAAGGGTTCCCGTTCGGGGAACGCCTGAAGAGGATTGGCCATAATATTGTGATCAGGGCAAACACTATCGAGGATGGTGACGTCTGATTTTTGGGTCAAAGCGCGACCCCCCCCCCCCCCCCCCCCCCCCCCCCCCCCCCCCCCCCCCCCCCCCCCCCNCCCCCGCCCCCCCGGATTTGCTCTTGGCGGGGGGGATAGCTGAAGGCTTTCCAAATGCAGTCAGGGGTCAAAGCGAGGAATGGATGATCAGAACGGCGATACTGCTGCTGCTGGCGGTAGGCATGGCGTCGCATATTATGGCAGTCCATTGTCTTAATGGAGTTTTTTTGGCGAGTCGATATACCCCCCGCTTATTGACGTGCGTTCTGTCCGCCGAAACGTCAGCTGCTCCCAAGGGTTTTGACCTACATATGAATGCAAATGTGCGCTTCTATTTCTTTTAGCTTTCTGCCCCTTGTGCTCCAGGGTTGGACGGGGGCACTAAGGGCGGGGCTGTATGACTTCGCGGTTGTAGGTGGAGGTTTGAACGGACCGATGTTGTGGGTAACCTCCAGCTGCGATAGCCTACTACATAACCAGTGTGAAAATTGCTGCGAGTTTGCGGTCGAGTTTTTTTCCGACCCCCTGAACTAGGTGCGTATATTGTAGGTACGGGGCGAAGAGACTCGAGAGAAAAACAAGACAAAGAGCAAGGGCGGAGGACGGCTTGCGGTTGCATGAATCGCTCGGGGCACTCACATCGCCTGGAAAAAAACGCTGTTGTCGATACATGCATATATTGTATGTTCCCTCACAGCTGTTTCCTTGTTGTTGGCGTGGGGCCGGATGCCTTTTTGTTTCACTCGTTCGTACTACTGCTATTGTGTGGGGAGTGAATGTTGGTCGTGATCGATAGATAGATAGCGCGCGCGAAAGCAGCAGCAGCAGCAGCAGCAGCAGCAGAGAGACCAGAGTCATTGCACAGGGAGAAGGAGGAACGATAGTAAATAGTGAGCATCCCCGACCTGGCGATATGGTGATACGATAAACGTGAGGAAGGGCCGTGAGAACGCACGATGATATTTATCTTGTTTGTTGGTTTGGTGGGGGGAGGAGGGCCGAAAGAATTGAATTCTGGTAGATTTGTTTTTTGACGACATAGTCGAACAAAAGTCTCGCAGCAGTCGAACGAAAAGGAAGGCAGAGAGGGCAGTGAACATGAAGATATTACCGAGTTTTTTGTGAGTAAATTCGATTGTTTCTTCCATGCGTCCGCTGTTTTTTTCAGTCCACGCGGCCGTAATTTTGGCAATCGAAAGAATCGTGGTTTGTTTTAGCTCCACGTCGCAGCCACTTCGATCGGTCGCGGTTGGATTTTGCAGGCTTTGTCGAGTAGTTATTTTCGTTTGAGCTCCTTTTGAGTCTTGTGCGTGCATGATCCACTGCGCCCCAACACCCTTGCTTGACTAGATGGCAGGATATAGCGCCTACCTCCCATTTCAGAAAAAAAAACCGCTGGCCTTGGCGTGAAAACCAAAAATAATCCCAGCCTGGTACACCATGTCCAGAATTAGTTGTGGTACATGCTCCGCGTTTTGTTTGTTTTCCCGAAAAATTCAGCAAGCAAGGTGTGCGCCTTATTCGCACTGGCTCTCCGGTGCTTTCCAGTCGCGAATGAATCACAACCTACACCGTGTCTCGTTCTTACAACCAATGGGTGCCCCTCCCTCTTCTAATAATGTTCTATATACTCGGGCTACTCCTGTCCCCCAAGACCGCAAGTATGTATGACACCGTATTCCTCCCTCCCAAGGTTGACCTTACGAAAGTTAGGGCTGTGCTTCCAGAATCCGGCTCGGTGGGTCCTGTTGTCCACATGACCTTCCCACCCCACTTTTCTACGAGGGTGCTGTGCTTTAGCACATAAAATTGGCGGAGGGGGGGGGGTACGATGCGTTCGTTCGCAAGACAATGGGATGTGTCTATACAGACACACGTGTGTACACTTCCCACTGGTTGCGGATAGTCCGAGCAGTGTTGCTCACACTGAATAGAATGAACCCTACCAACGAGTAGGCGGTGGCGGCGACAGGTTTTCCCCCTCACAAGTGAGACGTGACGTCTACCAAACGCAACGTGTTTTATATGTAAGAGATAAGACGACAATGGAATTAACACTTGCGCGACAAAAAACTGGACCCGTGCTGCCTGTCGCAGGCAGGCAGGCGCGTGTATAGATTCGATCACGCTACCAGGCGACAATACGACAAAAACGTGGCATATATCGCCGGCAACGCAGACACAACGAACTCATCACATATTTACTTATTTCTCCTACAACCTTCCGATGCCCTGCATTCGAAAGCATCCAACTCAGTGCTACACGGCCCAAAATCAGCGAGGAAGCTTCACACGCCAACCGACCTCTGGGCAAGGTTGGCGTCTTGCAGCCTATTTATACTGCCGACATGTACCTAGGTCTTACTGCCACCTAATGCAAAAGGTTTGAGGCGATTTGGTGCGGCAGGAGATAAGCATGGTGTGTTCAAAATTCAAATTTCAGGAGAGCCCACGCTGGAGATTCGAACGCACGCTCGTGCATGTTGCGCATGTACATCCACTGGATACACGACCCCCATCCAATGATACCATGGAAATGCCCCTAGCTCAGGGTCAGGCTATCATAACAAGTTATAGAAAATCTGGGCTTCGATTGGGCAAGTACGTCTGTCTTGAAGTTAAAATTATACTCGGTGCTTTTCCATGGTACGAGTCAAACATGACCCGGGGCGCTCAGCTACGTACACTCCAGACCGTGCATGTAGATGGAAACGCCGCAGAAATATCGAGTCGGGCATATATACTACGTAGATCGACAGGTTCCAGTCCGTCACGCTCTCAGGAACGTAAGCATGCCCATACAGACAGAGGATCATATATTATCCATGGCTGTCAAGAGACAACGAAGCGCCCACAGATAAAGCATAGGTGTAGTCTACGCCTGCGTAGGCTGTACGTGTCACGTGACATTTTGTAGCCAAGAGTGGAAGGCCCTCACGCTGAACATGTTAGATGCGGCCAGAGAAGGTGGGGGTGTGGTGACACAAGACCAGATGCTGGAAATGGTGGCGTCCATAGGAGCGGCCACGCCGTACAGCATGGTGAACACGACGGGAGGTGAGGAAGAGAGCGTGCGCAATACAAACGAGTTGTTGTTCATCGACTTTGTGGCGGGTTCGTCTGACTGTACAAATTAAGCGCAGAAGGGCGTTGTCATCTCGAGCTTTCGCTCCCAGCCGAAGTGCACCCATTTTCCACGATCGTGCTTTGAGTGTTATTACCGTAATGCATACCGCATCGCATTGTGTTCACCCCCCCCCCATACACCCTGTTGGAAATATCTCATTTCAATGTGTCAGGAGCCAAGCACGCCAACAAGGCGGCAGGTCCAGGGAAATGGGTCAAGGAGCATTGTGCCGATGGATTCGCAGACGACCCGTTTTACGAAGCCGACGTTCATGGCGTGGATCTCCCCGTGTCAATCCACCAAGGGGTGCGCCCGGAATATCTCGAGAAGGGAACTGCGGGGTTCATCGACTACGTCAAGAAGCAGCTGTTGTCGAAGCCCGGCTGCAGTCGACGGAGCTACTCGTGGTGTGCTACGACCGACAGGAACTGGTGCCCGTGATCAAAGGACACGAGCAGCTCGGGAGAACCGAGAAACTTGGTGAGTGCTCTAGGACCTTCGACCCGAAGTCAACAGACCCGGTTCCGTCGTTGCAGTACGGGCCATGGCTTCGAGCCGATGGTATGGCGGCGCGGGACGGAATCGCCACCCACCTCGCCACGCGCGTGCTAGCTGATGATGTCTGGACCGGCGACACCAAACCGAACGGAATCGCCGCATTCTACGGCGTTGGAGGTGAGCCTGATCTGAGTGTTGATCATCCACCTGGTGTACATGCCGAGGGCATAGGTCTCGAGGTGGGGAGGGAAGGTGCCGGGAAGGCGCTTTCCGAAACCGAACCACTCCTTCACTTTCGAGACGGAACCAACACGATCGAGGGTGTCGAGCGACAGCGTGGGCCAGACATCGGCGAGGCGGAGCTCTCCGTGATACACTTCATCGTTTGGGCGAAGAAGTACTGGGGGGAAAGCTTCGACAAGTGGATCGTTTCATCGGTAGACACGGACCTATGGATGATCATTCTACTGGCGATGACCACTGGTTGGCTCACGCCCCGTGGCGAGAGGGCGGTTGATGTGACCGTCCAGAGGGTCGTGGGTGGCGAGACCAAGTTCCTGTGGATGAACAGGGTGTTCGCCAGCATCTGCGAACTCCAGGACGGAAGCGAGTCCGCGTGGCCGCCATTGACCTTCGGGGGCTGGATTCCCACGCACGACGACAAGGTCCGTCTGTTCGTGCTAACCTTCCTGGAGTCGGGCTGTGACTACCTCCGGGCAATTTCCGGGCTGCCGTTCGACAAGATGTGGGTACTCGTCCTTAAGAGTGTGCGGACGGAAGGTTTGTTTGACAAGCCGCTGTTCTTCGAAGAGCAGGACGGCACGTGGGCCGTGGATGTCGACGAATGCGCGAAGCTTTTGGCGACCTTGTTCTTCTACAAGGATGAAGCGGCGTTTGGCACTGCTCATTTAACTCCAGCCCAGGTGGTCCAAAGCGTCGATGGCGACGTCGAGGCCTACGTGGGCGTGATCCGCTACGCCATCCTCCAACTCCCCAAGAAGAAGATGACCGCCACCTGTCCGTCATACTATTCCTTGCGCAAGCAGGCCGAACGGGGTAAGGCCAGCTTCCGGTACTGGCAGAATGGCCTGAGAGAGGCCATGCCGGCGACAGAGTTTGCCNGAGGCCTATGTGGGCGTGATCCGCTACGCCATCCTCCATCTCCCCAAGAAGAAGACGGCCGTCACCTGTCCGTCATACTATTCCTTGCGCAAGCAGGCCGAACGGGGTAATGCCATCTTCCGGTACTGGCAGAATGGCCTGAGAGAGGCCATGCCGGCGACAGAGTTTGCCGGCAAAGGATGAAGCGTCGACCCACGAGGGAAGGGGAACGACGGCGTCGAACTCACAGTCAACAACTGCGTGCTTGACCTGTCCGAGTTTTCTTACATCGGCCCAGGCCGAAAGACAATCACGCTAGCGTGTGGTTGCAATCCGGAGACGACCCTGTGCAACAGGTGCAGGTGCAAGGACAGGAAGTGCTCGCTCGCTTGCGGCTGCAGAGGTCGTTGCACCTAACGTCGGGCGACGCCGGCACCGGTGCGAGCAGCGGGGAGGTCTGCATCCCGGCCTACGGTGGGTGCTCGTCAAACTGGGTCGATCGAGGGTGCCGCCCGACCCCTACCACCCATCGAGACTCGACCACGGCTATCCGGTAGTGTTGGCAACNAAGCAACGATATTTCCTCCGGCGAGGCCGCGGAATCGAAGAACGCGGAAGAACTGGAGGACCCCGAGACGGACGAGAACGGCGACGGTTCGGTCGGTGCGCTCGACGATTTGATCAAGTTGGATTCGGACGAATCTGGGTCCAGCGATGGGGAATCTGACAGGTTGAGCGGGAAGAGCGACGACCTTGGCTGGAGTGACGGAGACACAGATGATGGTGTTGCGGATCTCGTCACCGACGCCTGGAACTGAGATCTGGCAACTTCTTCAGGTAGGTGCATGCAACGTTTCTTGAGAGACCTGGCTTGGGATTGGGGGTGTCGTGCCGGGCATTCTTCCACGTCAGATCTCCACATCGTAGGGAAAGATCTCTGTGGTATGATTTGTTCGTACTCCATATTTCAATGCCACATTTCGCGCATCCTTGTTGGTGGTTAAACAGGCGCGTGCTTCACTTCCGTTGGATGCAGCCATCCGTCAAATACGACGACCCTGGGATGCAAGATATCAGGCGGNTAGGTGCATGCAACGTTCCTTGAGAGACCTGGCTTGGGATTGGGGGTGTCGTGCCGGGCATTCTTCCACGTCAGATCTCCACATCGTAGGGAAAGATCTCTGTGGTATGATTTGTTCTTACTACTTCATATTTCAATGCCACATTTCGCGCGTCCTTGTTGGTTAAACAGGCGCGTGCTTCACTTCCGTTGGATGCAGCCATCCGTCAAATACGACGACCCTGGGATGCAAGATATCAGGCGGACTAACAGAAGCCTGACGCTGACCAGCCGGCTAGAGCGCGCGTTTTCTCCCCTATATTTTCCTACCCAGTTGCGCAGGGAAGTGGACGGGGGAGATTCTTTTCCCTTCGGCCGCGCTGGGTGTCCGATGTTTTTTGGCATGGTACTTTGTTAGTCGCAAACTGCCTGAAAGGTAAGGGGATGCTGTGTGCGTTCCGGGCCTGTGTCGTACTGACTGTAAAAAAGATATTTTTTGTTTCGTTCAGTTCGGGCACGATATTGATAGGTTTGGGCAGCCCGGGGGGGGGGTTCTTGTGCGAGGTGTTCGTGTGTAAGTATTTCCTCGTGTTTTCGACACACCCAACGCTCAGTGCGTACAATGTAGTATGTATTTGTCGTACGCTTTCAGAAAAAACACATTTACAACGAATAATGTGTACATATCGCCGGCCGTGCCTGTCTGCGTGCGACATTAGCACAACGTTATCAGTGACCAAGGTCCCTGTTAATGTAGCTGGCGTGTTACTGTCGCTGCTCCATCCTCGCTTTTTTTTTTTCTCCGGGATTCCGAAAGCTATGCTACTGGGCGAGGGCCCCGAGTCAACAGGCACAAGTGCGTGCGGCGCAACACAGCAGCAGCAGGAGAGGGGGCACCCCAACAGCAATTTCAGTTCAATCTAGCTGACGACATTCAAGAGTACTCCACCTGTAGTACGTCTTGCAGCACAATTCCAAGTGCTGTACAACCACAAGACCAGCAGCTAACGTTTCCAATACTCCGTGTTGCCGGCGACGTGGCAGAAGATAAGCATGATGCCTGTATGTCAATGCAAGATTTCGACTTCATCCGTGTCTACCTCTCGATTCCCGGCACCAATCAAGTTGAACCCTGCTGAAATATACTCTGGTGTTCAGTCCATCTTCCCTCAAATTTCGGTGGCGATTGATGCTGTGGTGGGCGCGTTCTTGTGCTTGATCGTTTTGACGGGTGCACAGCAGTGTGATTGCGCCGCGTAGATACGAGTCTCACATTTTTTTATGGGAGGGGCTGCGTATTGCGCCGACAAGTTTGAAGCCTACAGTGAACGGAATTTGGCAAATCTTGTTTCCCTAGATAGCTACTGGAATAGTCTACTGTTGTAAACATTTAGGCTTGGGTGGATGTCCGCCAGTCGCGCAGTTCTTCTGCGTAAAACGATATTTTTTGTTCCTCCGCCTACTTTTTTTTATTTTCAGCCGTGCAGCACTGAACTAGAAAATATTTGGATTTTGAGACTTACATACATGCATCAGAAAAACCATCAGAAAAACCCTATTTACAACGTTGTGGCGAGAAGGGCAGGGGTGGGTGATCCGGAAAACATTACTTGAGTCGTGAACCCCTGCCAACCCCGACCCTACCAACAACAAGGAAGGCAGACACGCCGAAACATTACTACTTCAGGTAAGAGACAAGACACAATCGAATCCACAGGCGCGTGGCAGCGGCTTCATACGATCACCGCCACCCACCACCCCTGCCCGAAGCCACAAGATGACGAAAACCCACGCCCCCCGGCGGCAACCCTCAAGAGCACCACGAACTAAGAGCACAGCTTCATATCTACGGAGAAGTTGAATCTTGAACCAACTTGTGCACACACAAAGCTACATCTTGAACCAGCGTGTGCACCAAGCTGCACATCATCAGCAACTTATGCATACAACGCTGCATTTCAAAATCAATTCATGCATACCAAGCTGCATCTCAAAATCAACCCTACGAACGAAGCTGCATCCTAAAAAAAAAAAACGAGGCGCGATTCGAACCATATCCACTGACGAGGGGGGTCGCCGACAACTCGAAATCATAGACGAGATCTACCGCAAACTACACATGTGTCCGGTGAAAAGAAATACTTTTCCCCCATGACTCGCCCTTTCCCAGCACCCGGCCCAAAAGAGACGGTGGTGCTTTTTCTTTCAACCCCACAACACACGCACAACATGGAAATAACGCCATCCGGTTGCTTGTGGGAAGCCAACCCAACAAGAACCTATGCTTTACCATAGTAGTTTAGTACGAGATGCGCTCAAGTGAGCCAACCCAGCACACACAAAGGCCTTGAAATGACACGGACGGGGCAGAAAGGGAGTGAGACATACGTCCCTCCGTTGTCGAAAGGACGACAGAAACAAGGCGAAACAACACCGAACAGCCGGTCCCCTCCTCGCCCCACACGCGCCAACTCCGAGGAAAATATCAGTCCACGAGAAAAATCATCTAGCCGGCCAGCTAGCCAGCTGGCTGCGCACGCGCGCTGCCACCTCAGCAGCAGCGGCAGCACCAGCACCAGCACCAGCAGACCAGCAAGCGAAAACAAAACAGCCGCATTATCTCCGGCGGTGGAACCTTTCAATCCTCGATTTATTCGGGCATTACCGTTTAAACAGCGCCGCCGAGCTGAACGTGCGTACGTACGTGAGCACACACCGAGAGCGAGCCAAAACCGTACCACACGCCCCACCCACCCCAAAAACATCCAGCGCGAACAGCACAAGTCCAAAATCGATTGTTGTAGGTGAAAGCATGTCGCTCATCTGGCCGCGAGGTGCTACGGGGCGGATTCCTGACCTTCCCTCTGCTGAACCGCAAAAAAAAATAGCCGACAAGAAAAACAGGGGGGGGGGG